CAGAAGATAAATTAAACTAATCTTTCTTTGGAATTAAATTCTTATCTACTTCTGTCCAGTTACTAGAAAAGAGGAAGGACAATTAAATTATTGTTTCAGCAATAACAATTATTTACAACTGGTTCAAAGAAAAGTTGATATGGGAAGACAGAAAGCTGACAATCATCTTTGCTTTCAAGTTCTAAGAAGCAAACTGAACAGATGATTTAGTGTAAGATGGGGAAAAAAGGAAAACTGAAAGAAAAGCAAAACAATTGATAAGGTGTAGCATATTTGTAGTTTCAAGCTTCTTGTTAATCCTCACTGAAGGATATTTTTCCCATTGATTTTTAGAGAAGAATGAGAGGGGGAGAGAAAGAGAGAGAGAAACATTGATGTGAAAGAGACGTATCGAGTGGTCACCTCCTGCATGCACCCAGACCCCCGACCTGGGCATCCATGCCCTTGACCAGAATCGAATCCTCGACCCTTCAGTCCTCGGGCTGACGGTCTAACCACTGAATTAACCAGCTAGGGCTGTAGTGGCAAGTTTCTTTAAGGCAGATATTTTACTTTGCAAGTTCACAAAATATAGTACTAATCCAATAAATAGTAAATGTACTATCTGTTGAAATAATTGAATGAACTATTTTCTATAAAAGCAAAAGGTTCTCCCTCTGGGGTCAGCCTGATGAGAACAGTAGTTTCTACAGCTGTATTACATTATTTAACACTTAGGAACTGAAAACCTGCACATAACACCAAGAAAAATCAACTTACTGGCAGAAAATGCAAACTATGCTTAAAAGAATAACTTAAAATGGACTATCTGTAGCAGTTGCCTTAGGACCTTGGGCAGCACTGTTGAAAGCAATATCATAACAAGAATTTGAAATAGATTTACCATCTATAGTAATAAAATAGTAACATGCTAATCAAATGACCTTCCGGATGAAGCCGGGGCTGCGAAGGCTGAGGCAAGCCATAGCCGCAGCTGCAAGGGCCAAGCCCCTTGCACGAGTTTCGTGCATCGGGCTTCTAGTCCTATATAATAAAAGCCTAATATGCAAATTGTTTGACTGGGAGTTCGACTGCTCGCTATGATGTGCGCTGACCACCAGGGGGCGGCACGGAACACGGCGGGCAACAGTGGAGGCGCTGCTGACCCCGATGGGCCCCCAACGAGAGCAGGACCGTGGCAGTATGGTAGAGGAGGTGAGCGGGCAGAGCCGGGCCTAGGCGGTGCGAGCAGGGGGCGATCGTCCCATTGATTGCCCCGCAAATGGTGACCAGTGGTGGCGGCAGGGGGCAGGGCCGCTGCCCAGCTCCCAACCGATCATCCTGCAGACGGCAACTAGTGGTGGAGGCAGGGTCGGGACTGCCGCCCCGCTCCCAGGCACTGAGGGAGCTGGGCAGGGGGCCTGGCCTCCATCGATCGCTCCGCAGGTGGGATGTGGAGCAGGTGAGGGGGCAGTGCCAGGCCATGGTGGGGTGCCAGGCTGGGCTGTGGGGCTACAAGGCTGGGGGTATGAGCTGGGGCCCCATCCCCGCAGGCCACCCCAAGGGACCCCATCCATGCAGAAATTCGTGCACCAGGCCTCTAGTTAATCAATATTACCCCTGAGATGAAACAGGAGGATTAGCCAGGCTTGAACAAAAAGTAGCAGTTTTGATCTACCACTATACCATGTCACCCTGTTTCTAAAATTGGGGGGGGGGGGGGGGAACAAAAAACAGAACTGCAGCAACTTTCCATTCATATCGTGTATAGCGTGACAAAATATACAAGTATCCAATTTTATTACAACCTCGAATAAAGGCAGGCAGGCCATGGACAGCAATGGTCAAGCTGATCCTAGCTGGTGGGAGTGGTGCCACTTATCCTTTCCTGCCACAGCTGCCTTTTGTGCAACTTGAGTACAAGTGGGAGGAAACTGGCACTCCAAGCTCTGCTGACTTACAGCTTTATCTGCTTTTCCTCAGTTCTACAATGTTCTGCAAAACAGAACTATTTAATACCACCAGGAGGTGCCACTCGTGGAAACTATCTCCACACCTTCTGTAAGTCTTAAAGGTCTCAAAAGCCTATTTTTGAAATATATCATCATACTTAAGAACTGCCACCATACTGGATCAAACAGTAGCTCCAGGAAACACATTTTCAAAGAGTTTATTTTTCTCCCTGAAGTAAACCTCATTGGGTAAGGATATACACTAAATAAAAGTCCTAGTTTTCCTGAGTCATAGGTTGCACTTATTTACTGCATAAAGCATTTAAATAGAACATTTATTGATTACCACTCTTTTTATGAAATGTCCTTTTTTAGCCAAAACTGTCTCAGGAGGATAATGACTTTCCAAAATTTATCTGCTATTATGAAATACTAGTTCCAGTTTTTTCATGTGGTGGACATTCATGTCTCCAAATAGCCAGCAAAGTTGAAAAAAGTCCTACTCTAAGCCAATCCCTCATTTTTCAGGTAAGGAAAACAAGGTTTGGAGATTCATGTGATTCTGCCTCAAATCATACATATGACTAATCTAAGAGCCAGTGACAGAATCTGAACCGAGTGCCCCAAGCCCCAAACCCCAAACCAATGTCCTTTCTATTATAAGCCCTCATTCTATGAATCTAAGTTCTCAGAGCAGTCCTTAATCACTTCATTGTTTCCTCATTTGCAAGTCTCCTGATCACCTTATCTCCTTGCTAATCAGAGCAGCCATTCTATGGATCCACTTCACCTCCATTAGTAGCATTTTAAGGTGAACAGTACCCTAACTGGACACAGTGCCACAGGTATTGGTTCTGTAAGATGCTTACATTTCTGGGGAAGAATTTCGTCTCTCCTGCCAGGGAAAGATGAAAATTAAATCCCCAGTATTCATCAATAAAATAACCTCATGCTGTAATCTTAATATCATGTGTCAGACACCCACAAAAGCTTTCAAAAGCCCCTGGTGGCAACATTCTTACAAGTTATTGAATAACTTGGTTCAAGTGTCCATTCTAAATTGGGTCTTACAAAGGTAGAAGTTATTTTTCAACAACAGCTCTTCTATTAGATCACTTGGTAACTGCTTATGTGGCAAATTTAACCTAAAGCACTGGACGATTAGTAAGGCAGGTGATGAAGACATACAATGAAATGAACACCAGCAGCAGGAATATTGTCTTGATTTCTATCTCCTGAAAAATGTACAGCCTCTTCAAATTTTTTGAGTACCATAAATTTAATCCTCTAAGATACCAAGATGTTTTTTAGTGGGGCTTTTCCCCTATCCTCCTGCTTAGAAACTTCTGGACTTTTAAAAACTGTCTAAACTAGTACCCAAGTCTTTACACCACATATGAAAAAACAACCAATGGACCTGGATCTGGAAAAGAAATAGTATTTTACCTTTGGAAAGCAAAATCAGAGTACATACACAGCACAATAAGCCCATTTAATAGTCAAATGAATAGTTGATAAATGAAAACTATTAAAGCAAATCACTTTTCAAACATAGGGTTTATCTCTTAATGAAGTTTATCTCACTCTCAATGCAGAAAAGTTGCTATAGTTATCAAAAGTATACTGATCTAAACATATTGTGTTATCTAAGCTCTTATACCTTAATTCCAGCATTCTAAGGTAAGAATCTATCCTTATTTTCATACCATACCTGACAACACTGGGGCACTTGAGGTGAATTAACTTGTCAGGGTTACAGTGTTGAACCAACTCTTAAAAACTACGCTCCTTAGCATAGAAAATTTGAAAATATGGTCAAACTCTAAGTTCTATGTGATGTATTATCACAGCCAACGTGAATTATTTTTTCTGGAGTCAGGAAAGCCTAACAGTTTGCCACCTACACATCCTAATTTTAGTTGGGATGGGTGACACAAATGAACTGTTTCTGTCACCACACTTATGCATACCCAAAAGGGAGAGACTGGTTCAATTCTTTAACTTTACTTCCTGCCTAGAAGGCCTGACTTAAGCCCTGTTATAACGGATATAATCGATCTAAGTGTTCAAGTTGTCTTAGTGTAGGAAGATACTAAAGTTATCATTTAAGTCTTACTGGAAATCAACCAAGCATTAGTCATTTTACCTGTCAGGGAAGTTAAAGCAGATCAACAAGATATAAACTGGGTTGTTTTCTTTTTTTTAGGGGAAATCCCTTAATGACTCGTTAATTAAACCTAATGAAACAAGGGGCCCTCCAAAACTAGTGTGGAAACAGGAAAAGAATCACAAGAAGTCATGCGGTGACCTGCTTTCACTGTTAGAAAGGGAAGAGTCTCCTCTTGATTTTACCTGCAGCCTGACCACGATGGCCACTTGTTACACCTACCACCCCCTCCAAGTGCAGGTTCCCGAGGAAGCAAAGGAAACCTGCAGGGTAAAGGCTCTATCCCGGCCAGGCGCCAGGACTGCACCACGCCCGCGGACACAGGGCCCTGCCTGCGTCCCCCACCCTCCAGCCTCCCCTGCTGCCCAGGAGGCAGCGCACAGCCTGCGGCCGAGGCAGTCCTCCGCCGGGCAGTGACCCCGCTCCGCCAGCCCCGCCCCCTTCCCTGACCAAAGGGTCGGTGCCTGGGGGGCGGGGGTAGGGACCGGGAAGAAGGCCTGGACAGGAGCGGAGGGGCCAGGAGGAAGAGTCCCTTCCCAGCCTCGCCGATCGGGACGAGGACTGGGCCCCCGGGCGAGCGGGCCGCCGCCATGATGGCCGGGCCGGGCGGGGGGGCGTGACGCGGGCCGCCGTGCACAGGGCCAGCTCCCCGTACCCTTCCCCTCCCCCGCGTGGGCCTGGCCACAACTGCCCCCGATACTCACGCTTTGTCCACCAGCTCCCGCACCTTCCACATGTTCAACATCGTGCCGCGCGCGGGCCGGGCCGCGCCGCCCTCTCCTGCTCCCCACGGACCCCGGGACACTTCGGCGCCGGGGCAGATCCAGGCCGGTCGCACCGCTGCCGCCGCCTAGAACTCCCCAGTCGGCTCCAGCTCCAGCCCCAGCCGCGGCGCTGCCGGTGACACGTCGAGACGCGGGGCAGCGGCGCTGCGTGGGGCGGAAGTGCCCGACGTTCCGCCCACTCTTGCGGGGCACGCCGGGATCAGTAGTTCTCTGCGCGCCACGCGGAGCCTTTAAATTGAGAGGAGGCGTGTTAAGGTTGGTACAACTGATCGTAAACTTTCCGGGTTCCCGCGCCCCTCCGACTCTACGGAACCAGAAGCTCCGGGGGTGGGGCCCAGCAATCAGTGCGTTAACACATCCTCCACGCTCAAGTTGCAGAACCACTGGTTCAACCGTGAAGTATTGCTGTGCTATTAATAATGATTATACGGAAGTGGGAGTGGTGTGTGTGTTCCTCACTGACAAGCAGCGCTGTTTTTGGTTCCAAGTGTCCAAACATGCTTCCTTCTCTGGGCCTTAGTTTCCATGCCTGTAAATTGAAGAAGTTGTAGTCTAAAACGATTCCACTCTAATTCTATGATACGCTGGTTTACTATTTAGACAGCTACCTGATACACTTGTTAGATACTTTTTATAAAGCTCAGAAACTCACTTCACACTCCATGGCAAACGGTAGAAAACCAGTACCATGACGCACCCAAGAACTTGGCAGCACAAGTAGACACACACACTGTATTCAGTATTTTATTGCAATGGTTGTTGTCACTTCATTTTTCACGTACATATTTTTGACAATGTTCATCTTAAAGCTGTAAATAACCTTAAAGTTCGTTTAGTCCAACTGCTTAAATTTTATAGTTCTTTTTATTCTATACATATTTATTGAGGATCTTCTATGTGCCAGGAGTGGGGAATATAGATGGGGACAAGACAGACAAGCACCAGCTCCCTTGGGTCTTAAAGATCTTTGGAGGAAAAAAAATAATCAAGGAAACATTAAGACAATTGCAGATAGCCCTGGCCAGTGTGGTTGGGTGTTGTCCTGTGTACTGAAAGGTTGCTGGTTCGATTCCTGGTCAGGGCACATGCCTGGGTTGCAGGCTCCATCCCCAGTAGGGGGCATACAGGAGACAACTGATCATGTTTTTCTCTCTCTCTCTCTCTCTCTCTCTCTCTCCCCCCCTTCTTCTCTCTCTAAAAATCAATTAAAAATATTTTTTAAAAAGACAATTGCAGATAGAAAGTGCTTGAAGAAGACAGATGATAATGCTACAGAGAATGATGTTAGAGGAAAATGACACTAGGAAATATTTAAGGCCTATTTGAGGACATTATATTTAAGCTGAAACTTGAATGATATAAAGGAGCTGACCATAAAAGAAAGATCTGCAATAAAACAATTCCTGGTGAAGGTAACAGACAAAGACTGATTCACAAAGGAGAAGTGAAGTGCTGCTAGTCAGAAAGCTAGGTAACAAGGATCCCAAATCAAGAACTCAAAACTTCTGACCCCTCGTTCCTCAGGTCAAGTCGCCTCTTCTTGTTGTGTCCACTTAATTACTGGAAGCAGCTTTGAAGAGTGTTTCAATAAGGCTTTGGGATTAAGGCCTGAGAGAAGCCAGTTGAAAGCATTGCCAGGCAGAAAAGCACAAAAAGCAGAAATCAGGACAAAGCTATCTCAGAGCTTTGTTGAGATAGGAGGAGTACTTGGGCAGACATGAAGTGAGTTGGAGAGATGGGTGGAAGGGGCAGGTAAAGATGAGCAGAGATAGGTAGAGAAACTGGACTTTCAAATGAGAAGTGTTTCCTCTTGAAAGGACTATCCAGCCCAAGATTCAAAGGATAGAATGTGGCAAGAGGAGATAAGGGAAACTACTTGCATAAATAAGATCTCAGCAAGTTAACCTTCAAACAATCGGGTGAGGGTACACCAGCAGAATGGGCAGGGCATAAAAATAACCACCTTCCCAGCCTGGGCCAGTTTGCAATCAGCTTCACCAGATTTAACCAGAGACTACAATGTCATCGTCTACTTTGCTTGTTCCAACACCAAGTTTGGAAGTGCCTAGACTTATTCCAGGATTGTCATTTGTGGTGTTCTCTCGGTTGTCCAGGGCTACCTAGCATGTAACACCAAAAAGGTTGCCTGTCCACCTTAGATTCAAAAGAGCCCCTAATGGACTCAGAATAACCAGACAAAGAGAGTTTGTTAAAAAGTGGTCACAAAATTAATCATTTGTATGTCAACAAAGTATTCCATTTTTACCTTTTATCTTGCAAGTTTGGGAGCAGTTTCCATAGTAACTTCTTTGTAGCAATTTAAATGTGGCCATGGTAGAAAAATAAATGGGAAAATGCCTCACCCATCCCTCTTCAGGAAAACATATTTTTCACTCAATGAGCTGACACTTTTAGTAAGGCCAAACCAATGCAAGGTTTGAAAGCAAATGTACTGGGCTGTGTTACTTATACATGAGGGGCAGTTACAGACACTGACGGCTGATCTCCCGCGGTTGGCTCCTCGGTGTTTCCTTCAGGGGAGTTTAATTCACAGCACACAGGTGTGGCAGTCCTGGGAAAGCACCGCCCAGATCACTTTTCAAGAGAATCAGTGTGAGGAGTGTGGATGGCCAACAGCTCCTGGCAGCCACTTCTTGGGAATCAGCCACAGCATTTATACCAAGTCCGTTCTCTCACTGGGCCCCAACCAGGCAATGACTAAGCAAGGTGTCCTGGAGCTGGGCCATTTCTGCCCAAGGCCGGACCCCTCTATTAAGCAAGCATTGTCCTGGACTCGCCATCAGCTTGGCCCACATTTCCTCAGAGCTTCGTCCTACCCGGGCTTCCTGCCTTCCCTTTCTCCCTTGACAGGTGTCAGAACTTCCTGTGGTCTGAGGTTCTCCCCACCCCCTCTTGTTCCCTTTTCCCTTAATCCTTCATAGGTGTTTCCCTCAATAAATCTCTTATACTTACTTCCACCTTGGCTTCTGCTTTCTGCAATACCCAGACTGACACAACGGGCAAGCACTTGTAACTTGGCTTCAGTATTTGGCTCAATGAGTCTTGTTGTTGGTCACACCTGACTGCTCCTCTTGCTAACCTAAAAATAAAAAGGACATTCAAAAGGAAAAGCCAGCAAGTGTTTATTTGAGATCAAAGAATAACTAGCTGGGAATCATTCATTCAGGCAGAAGTCCAAATAATGTTCTGATTAGTAGACAAAGGCAATGGACATGTATAAGAAGGGAAAAGGGAACAATTACATCAATCGAAGGAAGGAATTTCTATTGGTGCACATAAGATAACATAGTGATGTTAATTCTAAACAATGTTTTTTAATTTTCAGTCCAGTAGTCACAATAACTGCTTTCTTGTTAGCTTTGCAAATAGTACTTTGGGAAACAAGGTTGCTTAGGCCACTCTAAAGGTGATTTTTGCCCTGTTTTTAACATTCCAAGGTTTGAGGTATTACATGTGCAAGGCAGTTCCTCTGGCATGGCAGCTCTGGCTCCATTTTAAAGTAGCTCCATTTATATTATTGTTTATATTCTCTAAAAGTCAGGGCACTCAGTTTTTACTCATAATAAGAGGATTGCCATGAGATACATGCAGATATTATATTGCATAACCCTAGGAGAACCATTCATGTGGACTACCATGAACTGCCCGCCAATCAATCCCAGAGAGGAAGTAGTAGGTAGTGGTTAAGGAGTATAGATCCTTGACTCAGACCAACCTAGGCCCAAATTCTGCATCAGTAGCTTGGTCACCCTGGAGACGTTAAACCAACAAAGCATAGTGGTTATGAACTAGAACTCTGCAGCAGATTCTGGGTTTGAATTTTAATGTTGCTACTTAATAGTTGTGCGACATTGGGAAAATTATTTGACTTCTCTGGGTTCAGGTTTCTCATCATAATGGGGGATACTAGAAACCTATCTGAAAGGCTTTTTTCAGACAATTCAGTAAGGTAATGTATAAAAAGAACTTAGAACGGTACCTAACACAAAATAAACACTCAGTAAATGCTAGCGATACTGCTCCTATTACTCTTACACCTCCTAATCATCATCATCATCATCATCATCATCATCATCATTGTATCAATCTTTTACATTTATTCAATATTCAACAAGTATTTAGTAAGCTCTTACTATGTTCCAGGTTCTTTACTGGGTGGTGGATATACAATTTATAGATGAAATTTACAATATAGATGAAATAGGTATAGTAAACATAGTAAACAAAGCGATATGCTGAGGATCAAATGAAGTAATACATATAACTCACTTTACATTGGGTCTTGCATATAGTAAATGCTCACTAAACTCTACCTCATTATTAATATCAAATCTCTTCTCTTATGTGGATCTTAGCTTTTGTCTTTATAAACTGAGAGGTTTAGTCTTTCAGAGTATCCTAAACCCTGACAAACATCAGAAATTCCTGGACACCCTTAAAAATTTCAGATGGTTTTGTCCTAACCTTCAGTTCCTGATTCAATAGGTGCATTGTCCCTTATACTTTTGGTCACAAGTGACAGAAATAAAAACCAGCTTTAAGCAGAGCAGAGGAGTTTATTGACAAAGGGGAATGGGGAGAGTTCAGAGATAGAATTTGCCTCAGGAGCTCTCCACTTCTCATTTTTCCTTGTTGCAGACAGGATTCTCCTACTTGGCAGGTAATAGGTACACCACCTTGTGGGGAATAGGTACCATTTTTCCAGTTAGGCAACCATGTGAGAAAAGATACTTTGCTTTCATCCACTGAGTCAACTATCACAGAGAAAGACTCTGATTGGCCCAGTTTTGATCATGTGCCTACCTACGGGCCAATCACCTGTAGGGAGGCGTGTGTTACAGATTTGGCAGCTGTACCTGGAGTGGGGAAAGATGGGTTCTCTGAAAAAATTACAAAGAAAAGCCAGACCCTGGCAGACAAAAGCAACAGCTGTTTACTTCTGCATGTCTAAGGTGGGGGCTAGGAATCTGTTTTGCTTTGTTTTTAAACCTCTCCAGTGATTTTGCCAGGGCTGGGCATGCTCTGGATAGGATGATCCAAGGTCTTTTTTGCTGTAACACTATACTTTTTATTTTTAAGGTCCAAATTCCACAAAAATTGGGTTGAAAAGAGCAAAAGAAAAACATAACAGAAAATAGAAGGATAACAGAAAATAAAAGGAAGCAACAAAGAAGGGAAGAGGTGAGTGGTGTTGTAGCAGGGAAGCTGGTTGGAAGGGCTTGCCCTCACTAACTGTTCTGCTGACAGTCGGGCTCTTCTTGGCTGAACTTCAGGCTCCTTTCAGGGCTGTCAGCAGGGCTCAGGTGGGCCTATTCAGAAAGCCTGGTGGGCACTCTAAAGGGCTAACGCATTTGCAGTCCTTCTGCAAGAATGTGCAGGTGCTGGCAGGAGGTGAGATGGAGGCAGAAGTGCTCTTGGAATCATTTCTCTGCCTCCTGGATGTTCTCTCCTTCTGTTTCCTGGCCACAGACGAGCTCATAGTGGACTTGCTGTTCCTACTGTCAAGTTCTCTGAAACTCTATTCACAGGAAGCCAAGGTGCCACCAGTGAAGCAACTAGGCAGCGTGTGACCGTGGGCACTGACCCTGCATTGTCAAGGCATATTCAGGAGTGGATGGGGTGGATGTCAGAGAACATGGGCCGGCTGGTTCCTGAAGCAGGGTCTTTCTGGATAAGGTTAAGTGTCCTGGGAAAGCTCCCAGGTGTCCAGAGTTCACATGGAGGTTCTGCTGGTCTTTGGAGTCTATCAGATCATTAAAAGAATTATGCTCAGAGGCAAAGCTCGCTTCAGTGGGCATCAGAAGTCTGAGGGACAGACCTTTGCTCTTTATTAAATACAATGAATGTGGCTAAAGAGTTGTTGGGGGGAGAGGGGCGGGGTGTCAGTCAGCACAAGGCATGCTTTCCTGGTGGGAAGGAGTCAACATTCAGTGTGAAGTGGAGTGAAATAGATGACTAAAATCTATTTGTTAGCCAAGAAGCTTACAGTCTACTATGGAAGATAGACATAAATAGACAGACAAAAACCGCAGGGAGATATTTAAGGAGCCAGTGTAGTCTTGGGTAGAGGTCAGAGCACTGGCTGTGTTATCATCAGGACCTCGGTTCACACCGTATAGCTGTGGGGCCTTGACTAAGTTACTTCACCTCTCAGGCCTTTGCACCTTTTTTGAGAAAATGAGGCTGATAAGAGTCCTTGACTCAAAGGGCTGTTGTGAGGCGTGAATGAGACGACATACATTAAATGTCTAGTACAGTGCTTGACATGTAACAAGGACTGATTAAGTCAGTTCTATTTCCATTGCTAAACTGTTCATAACCAGAGAGCATGGGCAATGTGGGAGAGGCTGCTAGAACAGGTGCATCAGATCTTGCAATAAATATGTATTTGATCACTTACCCCATGGTCAAGAAGCATACTGTGAAAAGCAGACACAATTCCTGTTCTCATGTAGTTTATTTTTTTTATTCTTTATTGTGGAAAGTTTTACATATGTTTCTCATGAAGTTGTCAGTCTGAGGGAGGAGATGGATTTTAAACTAATAACACCTTGATAATTCTATCTCTGCAAATATGATGAATGCAGTAGAAGAAAAGAAGGGGTGCTGTGAGAGAATCTAACAGTGGTGTTTCATTCAGGTTAGGTAGGAGCAAGGGCCAGGCAGGACCTGTGGGAAAGTGACATTTAAGGTGAAGATGGAAAGATAATTTTGAGTTAATGAGGTAGAGAGGGAAAGAGCATTCCAGATAGAGAGACCAGCCTGTGCCAAGGCCTGAGATAGGATGTAGCTCAGCATGTTCCAGGATCTCAGAGGAGGCCCAGTGAGCCCGGAGGGAGGGGGGAGAATAATCAGAGATGAACCTTGCTCTGTTTCCTCCTGACCTCCCTGGACTCCATTACCTGCATTCTCATGGCCTCTCACTTCCTGTGGGCTCAGTCAGTGTTGGGCGGTGGGATCAGAGGCAGAGGAGAGACAAGTCGTGATATTTCTTTCCCCTGTCTCCCTGCTTCAGGAACATGGTTTTGGCAGGAGCCGAGTCCCTCTGTGGCCACTGCTGGTGTCAGGGGGTCCTCCTTCCATAGCTGAGCTCTCTTCACCCCGATGCTAACCCCTGGGTGGTTCCCCAAATGTAGTTAGCTTCCTCACCCCGCCTGCACTGCTAAAACTTGCCCCTTTGTCTTGCTCCCTCCCATCAGCCAAACTCTGAGTGTGCCAGTGTTTGCTGCTGGGACCCTGACTGATAGAGGAGTCCTGCAACATGGAGGGCCTGTGTCATAAGTTTTGTTTGCAAGTGGTTTCTGTCTGTGGAAGCTACTTTTCCTGTGTGTTAGCAGTTCTCTTGAACTAGTACTTGAATCTACAGCTTCTGGTGGGTCAGATCTAAATCTAGTTCCTCTTTGGAGGCATAACTTTAGAATTTCCCCATCTTTGATAATTCACATTGAAAAGTGATGGGTCACTGGCTTGGCCTAGGAAGCCTAAGATCTGACAGACCCAAATACCTACTGAGAGGAGGGACTGGAGAAAAATAAAGTATTATCTTCTTAAATACAGATTCATTCTCTTTCTTCAAAATTTTTTCTTTGAAATGTTTTTGTTACTTTTTTTATTTTATTGATTTTTTACAGAGAGGGATAGAGAGTTAGAAACATCTATGAGAGAGAAACATCGATCAGCTGCCTCCTGCACACCCGCTACTGGGGATGTGCCCGCAACCAAGGTACATGGCCGTCACCAGAATCGAACCTGGGACCCTTGACTCTGCAGGCTGATGCTCTATCCAGTGAGCCAAACCAGTTAGGGATGTTTTTGTTACTTTTTATTACAAAAGTAAAATATGTACACAAATATTTCACATATCTATCCTTTGACCCATAAATTCAGTTGGAAATCTGTGTCAAAATTCTTAGGCAAGAATGTTCATAGCACTTTTATTCACCATAGCCAAAAATCTAGAAACAACCAAAATGCCCATCAACAGGATGTGGTCAAACAAATTGTGGTACCTTGTTTGAATGAAATATGTTTCAGCAATAAAGAGAAATGAAGTAGTAATATATGCAACAACCTGGATGTATCCCCTAAACATAATAGCGAACAAAAGAAGCCAGACACAGAAGTTCTATCTCCATGTATATAAAATTCTAGAACAGGCAAAATTAACTTAAGGTGAAATAAATTAGAACCGTTGTTGTCTGAGGTGGAAGGCGGGGGTGGGAACAGGAGAAATACATTCATTTCAACAAGTAAACAATCTAAAAATGCATAAAGAAAAGTTAATCCTTTTTTATTTTCACTTCACTATGGTAATCCTGTTAAACTCAGTATGTAATTTTTCACACTCCATGCTCATCCTATATAATAAAAGTGTAATATGCAAATCAACCAAACCACAGAATGACCAGTTGGTGGGGGGCGGGGCTGGTGAGCAGGCAGCACCAGGCCAGCCAAGGCATGTGGCAGCAGGCAGAGAGAGGGGACGGCGATGGGAGGGGGGCTTCGACCAGCAGTGGCGGAGGAGCGATTGCTGGGGCGGGGCTGTCTGCTTGCCGGCCTGCACAGTCCCCTGATTGACCCACCGGTTGCCTTCTGCAGAGGGCTCCCAAACTGTGAGAGGGCGCAGGCTGGGCTGAGGGACTCCCCCCCACACAAGTGCATGAATTTTTGTGCAGCAGGCCTCTAGCCCTATCTAATAAAGACGGAATATGCAAATTGATTGTCACTTGGCGACAAAGATGGTGGCGCCCACAGCCAATAAGGACGGAGTATGCAAATTGACATGACAAAGATGGCGGTGGCTGGGCTGGGACGCTTGTGTCATCACCATGGTGACGACACAGGTGTTCTGCCCCTCCCCGGCTGCTCTGGGCCTCTGGGCAGCGTGCGTGCACAGGCACGGAGTGGCTAGGGCAGGGTGGGACGCTTGCTATGAGGTGGGGGTGGGGGGTGGAGGGAGCTACAGGAGGGCAGCAGGGCTGGAGCAAAGGCAGAAGGTGGCAGCCAGAGCGAAGGCCTGGGTCCCAGGTGCTGGAGGGAAGCTAGTACTGGCATCCAGAGGAAGGAAGGTCTTTTTTTGCACGAATCTTTGTGCATCAGGCCTCTAGTCTATATATAAAAAGCCAATCGGCTGGAATGACTGGAACAACCGGAACAACAGGTCGCTATGATGCGCACTGCAGCCAGCCAACCAGCCCAATCCCCTCCCCCAGGCTGGCCCCGCCCCTGATCACCCTCCCCACCCTGATCAGGGACAGAGCTGGCCAGCCAACCTCCTGCATCCCCTCCCCTTCGCTGGCCCAGCCCCAATCGGCCCCTATCAGGGCAGGCCAACCGGACCCAGCCCGTGCACGAATTCGTGCATAGGGCCTCTAGTACAAATATAAACAAATACATGTGCACTTTTGTAGTTTTTGCTTTAGGATTATGCTGTACATGATGCTTGCTTTTTAAAATATCTGCTTAATATATATTATGAATAGCCCTCTAATTCAATAACTATAGATCTGACTCATTCTTTTTGGTATTGGTGTAATTCCTTACTGTAAATGCACCATAATTTATTGAATCATTTTCTATCGATGGGCAGCCAGGCTGTTTCTACTATTCGTGTTTGCTACTGCAAACAGTATTACAATAAAACCAATATTTATACACCTATCTTTACATATGGTGTTTAGATTCCCAAAAGTGGGAACAGAGCCCTAGTTGGTTTGGCTCAGTGGATAGAGCATTGGCCTGTGGATTGAAGGGTCCCAGGTTTGATTCTGGTTGGGGGCACATGCCTGGGTTGCAGGCTTGATCCCCAGTGTGGGGTGTGCAGGAGGCAGCCGATCATTGATGTTTCTATCTCTCTCTCCCTTTCCTTTCCTGTCTGAAGTCAATAAAAATATATTGAAAAATAAATGGGAACAGGGAAGGATATGTGTGTGTGTGTTTTTTTAATTGGATATAGGCAGAGTGTATCCCAAATAGATTATAGCATTTCTTACTCTCATCAAGCCACACATTGAAAAGCCATTTTGTCACATCCTCCTCAGTGCTGGAAGCTATTGCTCTTTGAGTTTTTGCCAATTGAATTGATAGAACTATGTTTCCTTAATTTCCAAGTACTTCTGAGGTAAACCTGTGCTTTCATGCTTCCTATCCCAGGCTCTTCTAACATCTCTCCCATCTTTCGG